GACCCCGACACGACACCCCCAACACCCCGACCCCTGACACCTCCCGAAAAAGGTGCTCTTCGGCCTTCCATGCGGGGTCATATATTTGTGAATTATGAGTTAGGTCAGGTATTCAATTATTATTATGTATGTATATATATATATAGGAAAATGGGTTGGTACTCTTAGGAGTATGTACTCTCATTCCAAAACTCCTCATGCAGACGTGGTAAAGGGAGCGTAATGCACGGCCATCCATCCATTATTTAATAAAACGAATTAATTAATTGCCAAAAAATCCATTGCATGGATCAGGTCTAGTTTGAAAATCAGTTCCGTGAAAGAGGAAATCAGGATATGCGTCATTTGCCCCCTATATTAGTAACAATAATATCGGCCTGGCCACTCATTGCTTGCCAGTTGGTACTACTCGCAAGAACTATCTCCGGCGCCGGCGACCCATCAAGCCATCAAGAAATCCAGACCAATCAGTTCGTTGGCACGCACGATGGATGTACGTGTTGAGGTATATTACTCCTGCCACAAGCTGATAGCTGCACCATCGGAGACGTAAAAGTGTCCTTGATGCATGCATTCATCTCGTTTTGTTCTCATTTGTTACAGGTGATCACAGTGAAGTCGGGAAGTCGACGGCTCCAGTGCAGAGACGAGTTGTGGTCGGCAGCGGACGAGCGGCTCGACAATAGAGATGAGTGGTGGTCGGCGACTCGACACGTTCGGCGCAACATGCACATCAGCGACGGCGAGGTGCCGATGATTATAGTATATACGGATGTGAAAAAACATGGAAGATTAGCATGTGCTTAACATCTAAAATCACGTCTTTGAACTGGTAGGTTATTAGTACTCTTCAATTATTATTGTAGATGACAACAAAGATTACAAAAAAGTATTTGTTTGATGATTCAGAGCGGAAGTGATAAGTAGTACGATGAAAGTAACTATACTACTTTCAGCGATGTATACAGTTTTGTACGTGGTTTAATTGAAAGTATTTTATGGTCATCTTTTTCCAAGGGTAATGTTTTTCATATGAAAGAAGTATATTTGCTGAGTGCACTACACACTCTGGAAAATCAAAATGAAGTATGTACAAATCCATGGGCTTTGTTAAAATCCTGTGGTATATACCCTCTCATGTAAAATCCGCGGGGGCTTCGTCAAAATGAAGTATTGTACTATATATGTACTCTCATGTAAAATGAAGTACATACTTCATCAGAAATCCTGTGGTATATACTCTCGCACAAAAGAAAGAATTGTACATCCTCACAAAAAATATACCAGTATATACTTCTTCAGAAATAATGCAGGATATACTCATGAAAATGAAGTACGTACGTATTCACTTATGATGTAGCACACACGCTCACATAAAAAAGGGGGTATATTATGGGATGGAGGGAGTATATTTTCTCCTATAAACTGATGAAAATGCAGTATATACTTTCTCACACTAGATGGTATATACTCTTCAATTAAAAGATAGTGTTTATACTTTCCCATAGAAAAATAGAGTATCATAAAAGATGTATGTACTCTTGTACGATCAGCACAAAGGACATATATTGCAGTTCGGACGTAACGTTTATACTACTTCAATTTGTAGCATGCACTCTGCACGGGTGGAAAACAAATCAAGTTCCCTAGTTGCTAGTAGTTGTTACGCATGCGGTGGAGTTAGTTAGTTAGTAATTGGAACGGTGGATGGTGGATTTGTTTTTTTTGCATCAATGGTGGATTTGCTGCTACCGAGTGTGTTTAACTCACAGCTGAGCCTATTCATACTTATCCATTAATTAGTTCATGTTATTAGGTATTCAATTTTTTATTATGTTCATGATGATGATACACACTTAATTTTTTTATTATGTTTATGTTGTACTAATTTCGTTTACTCTTTGTCATTGAAGGTGTTGACAGATGGTGGGCGCGGGTCGAGAGCGCTCCGAGCCTCCTTCCTCGGCGCGTGTTGGGAGGGGTGTTATTATTCCACTCCAGTACCTTCGGAGAGCGCTGGTAGACAGCATGTAGACACCGGTGGGTGCTTCTTCTTAGGCCAGGAGAGGTCGGGGGAAGACGAAGAGGGGTACAGCTAGAGGTGGACGTGGCGGCGGGACATGT